GTGTGACCTGCAATCAGTGTGGAACACAATGTCCATCTCTCTTTGGGGGTATCTTTGTTTCAAAGTGTTTCAGAACTCTATTTATTTAAGCTAGAAAGTAATCACCTTGTTAAATCAATATAAATCATTGCACTAATTTAATTATTTGTTTCTAAAAATTTTCCCAAGTTCATAAAGCTGTTTGCTTCTTTGTGAGCAAGTATCTTTAGACACAATACAGGTTTACAAACTGTAAAATAAAGAGCTGATTTACGATGGGAACAACTAACACTAATAGAATGAGGAGAGACTGTGTTTGGCAGGTGAGCAACCAGGCACCAATCTGTGTGCACTCTCATGCAGTTTGGTTACAAAATAATCCAAGTCCACTAGTGTGAAATATGCAATCAAAATGTCAGGGAAGCACTGTCCATGTGTGAGATCTGGCAGCAGAGCTGCCCTCACAAGGTTTGAAAGTCAAACTTACACATCCAAGGGGTTTCATTGCAAGAAAGGGCTGTTTGGTGCAAAACCAGTTAGCCCAAGAGGAGAAACTCACCATTTCAAAAGATGGCTTGAGAACACTAACTTGGATAATATATGGGAGATTAGAAAAGCTCCATCTATACACAAGCTGTAACATTTAGCCACCTGCATCTTTGTACAGAAGCACAAAGCTTAACTTGTTGAGAGATGTCTAAAAATGCATGTCCAACCATCCTTTCTTCGCAACTGTCTCATGTTGTATATGGGGCTTGAAAAGGAGCACCGGCTGAAACAACAACCTTGGTGGCTCATGGTACTTTTAGAAAGGTTCAAAGCCTCTTCTTTCTTCCCCACAAGGAGTGGTGACCCCTAAAAACAGAAGCCAACCTTGGGGACACAAGTGGCATGTTTCCCAGATGGCAGTTTACAGAAGAGGCTTCTTGAACTCTGACAGGCTTATTGCGTGTATTCCTGTTGCTCATGGGTGGGATTTGATTATTTTGTACCTAAACTTCACGTCAAACTGCTTGAGAGTAGGCACAGGTCAGTGTCTGGTTTCTCATCTGCTAAACACAGTCTCTCTTCATTGTGTTAGTCTACAGAAGGGTGAGACACAGGGTTCATTCCACCACTCACACAAAGGACACGTGACTACTTCCCCTTTTGTGGTAGCATTGATAAGGAGTTATAGGGAGCCCCTGACATTTTCCAAGTCATGACCACCTGGAGCCCTATTTGTAGCCAAGAACTGGAACCATTTTGATGCATAGGGGATGTACACATGCTGTCACAAAGGGTGCCTCTGTAACACAGCACCATTTCAATGCTGTTGGCCTTCCCTCCCCTCCCACCACGGCAGGATTCCTGGGTTCTGCCAAGCTGCAGAACCTGAGAAAAAGCAACACTGTGCTGCTTTTGTTCTTGTATGGGGGAAAGAGAAAAAAAATAGTACTTTTTGAATGGATTAGGACTTGGAAGAGATTTAAGTCATGGAAGAGTGTCAGGAAATAAGAAAATGGGGTCTCCAATCTGAACAGTCTTTAAGAAAGCTCAGCAAGAAAGAAGCATTAATAAATCAGAGGTTTAGTTATCCTCTTGGCTTAGCTGGGGCATTGTAAAGTTCTCAGAAAGCTGCCTAAAGAAATTTGTGATTTTAGCAGAAGCTACATTACCTCTCTTCACTCTACTGCAGTATGAATTTTCCCTTCTCAACTGAAAAAACTTATATGCACTGTGCAAATATAATGCTATATGTGAGCGGGGACAATCACAGACAGAAAAACCTCTTCTAGCTTATGTATTTTATAAACTCTTCCTGTCATTTAAGAAACTACATCCACAAAGAAATGGAACAACCATTTATCCTAGAGGGTAACCTTTGCACAAGACCATTCTGTCCAGCCACTCAATGTTTCCTGCACATATCACAACTAATCTACTAAAATATCTATGCACAGGCAGTGATCCCAGGTATTGTAGTTGTTGCACACACAGGGACCAGCTAGCTACTTGATGTACAGCCACTGGCTCTGGCTCATTCTGTAATACAGGTATGGCTCTTAAAACCTACAGATTCAGACCTACAAACAGGTCAAACCACAAGAAAATCAATAAAATCAATTAGAATCCAGACAAGGTGCAACCTTCCCCACCCTGGATTAGCACTCCCAAAACCACCAGGAAGTCTCTGCCTCACAGGATGGCTCTGAATGGCTGCTCAGACATCTGCCCTAGGGCTATTTACTCCACCCTCAGGGCTGTGTGGATTCCTACCCCTCTCAGTCAACCTCACGAAAAATCCCTGCAGTAAGCAAGGAGAGAGACTACACGAAAAAGTCGCATGGAAGGGTCTCTATCTGCCACCTAATGCAAGCAACTGGCACCACAGGATAAACACAGACAAGAGCCAAGACACTATGAATATACATGGAAAAAGCTGTCTAGCAATCTAACAGATAAAACTGTTAGTATTGGTTTTTATGTTATAGTTTTGCATAGTTATGCTGGCAAAAAAGCAGATGTAACTGCCCCAAAGCTGCCACACACAGAGGGGAAGGCTCCTTGCTGCTGAGGCACCACCTGGCCCCACTCCTGTGGTCTCCACCCCATCATCATCATGGATTTCCTCTGTCACACACTTCAGAAGAAAAAGCAGCCAGCAAATGCTGCCTTGCCATTTGTTTGATCTATCTGGTGATCTGCCCATCAGCTAAGTGCCTACAACAGTAAGGCTTGAATGCAGCAATAGAGAGACAAATCAAGACCTATTACACATTCTAAATTTACTAATATACCATTGTTATGCATAAATGAACCAGCATTTAAAGTTCAAATATCTCAGTGATTTTCTGCTTAAACCTAAAAGTTTAAATCTTATTGCTTTTGGAGGTTTCCTTACTTCAATCTGAACATTAAAACAGCTTTTTGCGAGGTGAAATGAAATGAACTATGGTGTTTATACCTGGGCCAATGCCTTGTTGCTTCCCATCCAGTAACACATTAGGCAAAAGTAATTTTATTAGATGTGCCCAGATCAATTTTAAAATAAGTCCCACCACAACCTCAAAAACTGATTCCCCATTATATTTGACAAAAATGTTCCAACCCCCCCAATTCTTTGCTTTTACAATGTTCACATTTTCAGGATTAAAGTACATTCTGGTACTCATCCAGCACAAGAGATGAATGTAAACCAGTGAAGAGCATTACAAGAAATTTCACCTTTAAATTAACATAAAATAATCTCAAATCCCTTGTAACTATGTAACAGTACACAGAGACAAACTGGCTAGCTATTACTAGTGTATTGCTTTGTATAGTACTTCATTAGTAGCCTCTTCAAGTTTTCCCTTGTTGAATCACCTGTTTCTGGCTACAAAGTCAATATTTACAATGCTCCTTTTCCTAATAAAGCATGAAGGCAACTGTATGGTACACAATAAATTCTCAAATGCTTCAGCAGAAACTTCGTATTTTAAACACATAGGAAGTTAAAAATGCCACAGATTTGTACTAAAATTTCTTACCTTGCAAAGTTTCAGCAACAGCCAGCATGTCAGGTACACTGTGAGAGGGAATTTCACTTTTATATATCTTTCAGGGAAACAGGTAAGGTACATTTGTCCCAAATCCAGCTCTTCATGGACAGCACTACTGCCAGCATTATTAATATCATCTTCCCCACCCTCTTGTCTTCCTTTCTCCTCTTCTGCTGATGTACCCAAACATCTGTTGAACTCCATTTTCAAAACGTCTGTGGTGTCACACCCCCAGCCCCCCCTTCTCCACAGCCCTAATCCTTCCAGAGACAACTCAGGAAAGTTTTACTTTCACAACAGTAATGATATTCCCTGATCCTCCAGAAGTATGTAGCCTTGTCTTTAAGCCAACCCAAAAAGTTAAGACTGTGGTAGAATAAACTTTCTTTAAACTGTATTGGCTCTTTGCCTTTCTATTATTGAACAACCTCTTGCAAATGTGTGTACAGCTACAAGACAAATATAGCACCAGCAAGCCTTGTCATACAGCACAAGAATACTCCTGTTGTTGCCAAGAGAGGAGAGAAAGATTCCATTTATTTAAAGAGCAAGTCCTCGGCATCAGTACTCCCTTGTTCATTTGGAGGGGGGAAAAGAAGATGAAAAATCTGTTAGCTTTGAAAACTTTATTTTTTTGTCAACTGTGTTTCCTCAGAACAAACCCCAAATCCGTAAAAAAAAAAAATATGTTCTTACGGAGGAGGGTTTTTTAATTCCAGAGACTTCCAGCCACAGTAATGCATTGTCTGTGATATCACAGATGCCAAGCTTGGGAAGGCTACAAATTTCAAAAGAATAAATGAGGTCTTGCAGATGGAGCCAAGACATTCTCAAATAATGAACAGTCCTTCATAGGCCAAAATATGAAGAAAATATGCAAGAGATTAACTAAGTAATTTTTAGCTAAACATTAAGCAGCTCATCTGTGCCTTGTGACAGTTCAAACTTGTACATTAAGAACAATTTTAAGAACCTTTTTAAGGACCTCTTAGGTTTAATTGTATCAATTATGAGAATTCAACAGCATTGACAACTAAAAGGCATAATTTTAATCAATAAGATTATTGGTGACTTCATCCAGAAATTTATGCTCTCTTCAAATTATCTTCCCCACCACAGAGAGGATATTTGAGTAAAGGAAGAGAACGCTGTGGTTTGATGAAGAACTAATCAAGAGCTTCAGTATCTTTTAACATATCTCATATCCAAAGATTCCATCCTCTTGAACTACCTTCAAGCACCAGACACGGCAGCGAGTAAATGCTTGCCATCCAATTTTGTGATCATTAACCATATTAAATACCACCTTGAATGATTTTCATAGGGCTACCTGTAAGTTATACATTTTATTGCTAGAAAGGGTGTTTCAGGATACAAAAGGTAAAAACAAAATTCCTTCACACCCATATACAGTCTGTCCATAAGAAACAGCAAATGAAATGCAGAAAACATACACATTTCTTTAGTCTGATACATTTTACAAGGTGTCTGGCTCACCTGGTTCCCGATGGGTACAGCTGTCACTATTTCCCTTTCTTTTCATGTTCATACAAATTTGAGAAAGAGAAAATACAATGAATTAGAGAGCCAAACCTTCCTGTGATGGCTCGCTGGAATAAAGTGGAACACAATTTCTATTCCTGCAGGCAATCCTGAGTACAGATGTTGAAGGCAAGTTGGCTCTAGCAACTGTAAAGGAGCTGGATTGCATCCCAGTGCTCACTCCTCCTGTCATATCCCCTGCAGTCAACATGTGCCTGCAATTCCCACACGATGCTTGCTCTGACATAACACACCTCTTGAGCAATCAGCAGCAGCCTCTATGTTTTCTCACTTGTAGCTGATCAGGGGACCACTCCTGGAACTTCAAATGTCAGCAGGCAGGGACCACAGCCCTTGTGCAGCAGCCTGCTCTGCACAGGGACAAGCCAGAACTCCTGACCCTGAGCATGAAAGCAAACGAGTTCATGGGGAGGAAAGTTTCACAACTCTCCCCTGCTCTCTGGTCCCTTGAGGTGAGGAGACTACTATCTTTGAAAGCAACTGTGGCCATGCCAAAAGCCTGCTCACTGTTGCTGCCAATTTTAAACACAGTTAAAGAACACTTGACATAGAAAATGACAGGGAAGGAGAAGTCAAACCAAAGAAATGTCAAGAAGCAGATGACTGAGCCAGCTTATAAACTTGTAGAACACTGTCAGCTGAGAAAATTACAAGGGTGGAGGCAGATGAAAACTGCATCTATTACTAAATTACTGTCTCTTACTCTGTTCCCAGAAGGACATGACATTGCCACACACTGGCAAAGTTATATTATTTTCATCTTTCCATGGCCTCCCAGTTCTTTGATTCTGACCACTAAGAAGTTGCTACATGAGATATTTTCAACCCTAGTATTTCTTCCCTAATCCCTACCATTTATGATGTGAATAATGACATATGAACCAACAGAGACAAGTCTGCCTAACCTATTTTCTGGCCCCAGTTAAGTGCAAGTGAAACAATAGTTAAAATAAGATCCACTTACACCCTTCATATAGTCAATATTCCCAGCATTTCTGTTCTGAGCAGACACCATCATAGCAGGGCTCAGCAATTGTAAGAAAATAAATCATATAGACTTGAACCAAGTCTTAAAGGTCCTTGATCTGGAGTTCTTACACAGCTCTTTTACCTACAACACCTTTTTGGGAACCTCCAACATAAACCAAAATCAGAATGATTTTAGAAGGTGAAGCAAAAAGCAGTCTGCATACAGGGCCCAGATACCGGGTTTGCTTGTTTTCATAAAATAAAGGGTTCAGCTTTTCTGTTTTGCTATTTTAAATTCAAAATGATTCATAGCAGAAGCATGATGTTACACTCCAGAGGAGCATGTGTGTAAGCTCCTGGCAATCCATACCCAGTTCCCTATTCCGTTCTGCCCAGCTTGGAAAAAAGCTACTTACAAGAGCTCTAGATAGGACTCTGCTTCCCCATCCCAAGATTTTAAAACAACCAACCTTCCCTTTCCCACAAAAAAACAACCCAACCCAACAAAAAACCCAAAGCACCCCACAGTTTTTATTCCTATTACCCTCACCTCCACCTCATGGTCCCAATGTGTTTCTTAGCATATTGTAAGAAAGTTTTCTGAAAATGAACTTCAGAAAGTAACTTTCAGTTGTTCAAGTCAGTGTTTTTGTTGCCATCCTTGGGCACTCTTGGCACTGACCTGTTAATATCCTCAGTATTACTGTAGCATTCAGTAGCTGCAGTCTGAGGTATTTAAGAGAGTTGCCATCGAAATTGTCACAACTCCATCTTAACAACTAGAAGCTGTAGAAGGGAAGCCAAGAAATTTCAGAAGAATGGGATTTTTGAAGGGCAAGCTGCTAAAAGCTAATGAATTGAAATGTAAGTTAACAGATTTTGCAGACACGAGGGAACATGACATAATGCAGTTGAGAAGCTGTTCCAGTTATGAAGGACAAATTGGTAACAGTACTGAGATGACTTCTTAAATTAGGTGATGAGGTAAACTCACGACACACACTGAGTGAAGTTGTTTAAACCTTATGCTTTGCTTGCCAGCTTCTAGAATGATATGTTTTTGAAGTGGGGAAGAGAACACAGCATTGACATTACAATTTCCACTTTCAAAGGCTCCAGCAATGTTACTTAATTAAATCTTGGAGCCCTGGGAATGCAGTTAACCTTGACTTTACCCAGATGACTGCTCAACCCTCATGTTCCCCCAGCAGGTTTGTACAGTTAAAAAGGATATCTTGTGGTTGTGTATCATAGTAAAGTTCCAGTTCAGAATGGTTTATAGTAAATATCTAGTTGCATATAGAGTGTGATTTGAGCTTATATATACATACTCGATATATATTTACACTACTCACCATGTCTATGTAGCTGATATAAACAGATTTTAGGTGAGTAATTGATGATCGCAGGCTCCACTAATGCTCAGTCAAATGGCACACTGAAATGGCAATAAACAGTATTTTAAACTCCTATAAACTGCTTAGAATCTATATAAATAAACTCTTCAAACAAGGTGTAGCCCATTTCAGTCCTGTCATGACTAGGTACTCTTTTTGTCAGACTTAGCTCTTGTAACAACAGTAGCCATCAGACACTTTTAATCCGGCACTAATGTAAATGGAGCCTAGAATATTTGCAAAAAATAACTCTAAGTCATGCTACCTCTCACTGCAAGTTATTCTATCATTAGCATAATGGGCATTTTTCTACTTGTTTCCTTTTTTTTTTTTTAACTGGAAGAATCTTTTGCTTTCATTGTTATGGTCTAGATACAGGGGGCAGACTGGAATAAATCCTTCCAGGATGAGAGACCTCAGGACTTGAAACAGAATGTGAACCTGTCTCTTCCTGATGAGGACTCACTTCTTTGTTAGCTGCCAGGGCATTGCCCTTTCCTGCTCACAGTGAGCGACCAGCTCCAAGTTCCCAGTGACCACAAGTCAAGAACTGAGAGGGTAACACTTCCCCTCCCACCACCACAAAAGAGTCTCTTGAAACTGTATTTCAGAGCATTCTGTGTTTACTCCCAAGATTTCCTTCAGGACTGTTTAAAATGAGAGCTCTGACTCCTCATTAATTGCTTGATTATGGATAGGGAGGCATTAAGACAGATAAAGTTGTTTAGAGATACGGGTTTTATCATGAGCAGCACTGGTCCTCCATATTCATTCCAGCATTTCTGTAGCTAGGGAGGACTATCTCATGACTCTCTTGAGATTCCAGGACCTGTCATCCTCCAGCCTTGCCCTAGTCCCCTTTCATTATCAAAACTTTACATGGCTTAAAGAAACAGGATGGAGTTAACCTCCTGGAAAACTGCTGTCTTCCCTGCCTTTCTCACTGCCTTTTGCTAAAAGAGTTTTGATTTGTTGTGGTTTTTTACTCAAAACTCCAGTGCCTTTAGCCCTACAAATAGCATTTTGGCTACCAGAAATCCTAAAAGGAGCTACAGGGGAGCCCCGAGCAGAATTCTTCAACTGTCTGAGTAATCCCCCAAAATAGTTGAGGACATGTGATACTTCTGATTATTTTGAACCTGCTGGCAATATCCTGCAGTAGTGCTTAGATTTATTCAGCATCTGAGAAGGCAGAAAAGCCTCCCTAATCTGCACAGTGAAGAGATGCACTGTAAGCAACCGGCCTCCTTGTGGTATTTGGTGGACTGTTTCCAGCTGGCTGGACTATTTCACAGCATACTGCTCTGAGCTTTGTAGCACTTTACACTTACTCACAAATGCACAGCAGTATTTAGAGCTATTTCTTGCATGAGTTAGTCATTGCTGGATGGCCATCCATTAGAACCTCCACTGGGATATAAGCAGCAGACATCTGTCTGCACTGGAACTGAAGGTGTGACATGTAAAAGCACCCAATCTACTGCTGGTTAACTACTGTGCCTGCCAATAGTAGGAAAGCTACAGCCCAAAAACCCACGGCGCCAAACCCACTGAGGAGCTTTGGAATTAATCTGGTAGACAGATGTGTCACCAACATCAGTGGGTGAAAAGCTATGATGGGCAGATCTCTGCACACTGTGTTCTGGGAAATGGGCAGCCTCTGCGTGTGCTGAGGCAGCATTTGCCTTAAATTAAGGGAGAAAACTGGATCACATTAAAGATATGAGGCTTTCTTAAATGACAGCCTCTATGAGTTAATTATGGGTTAGCTAAATGCAGATGGCCAAAAATGTAGAGTTTATGTGAACAACACACACCACATAAGCCTCAAAAAAAGTCAAATCGGGAAGTCTTTTGAGAGAAAGCAATCTGTTTTTAGTATACTCTGACACATGCTGCTTGGGATTGGGTCAGCAACGTCCCAAGAATAGGAGTTCACTGTATTCTTGTACATTTGGTTCTTGTCCCAGCAAGTTTGGAGAGGTGTGAAAACGAAAACTGGCTGTGCTGAAACACAACCAGGCTTCTCCGATCGTCAAGGAAGTTCAGCTCAGGTTTCAGTCAGCAGCTTTGTGGTTTGGCATGAAAGAGACTATTCTAGTTCCTAGCAGGATGTAAACACCCTGGGTGAGCATTAATCTTCTTTGGGAGACCTCTGACCACCTGCTCGAGCGTTCATCCTTGCTCCGAGCTCATTACAAGTGCCCTGGGATTTGATGAGGAGGAGTGGCAGTAAATACATGTTTTGTTCACTATTTAAGACAGCCTTAAATCTTTGCTACACACACCAGGAGAGAGGGTGAAAGGGAGCAGGTTTTCACAGCCTCACTGCTGAGGCTCTGCCTGAGAGCCTCACGCCATTTTACCTCAGGGTCTCCAAGCCTGCTGCACCCCGAGCTACATCACACAGCCCTCATGCCCCAACTGGAGCAAGACCTTGAAATTTGCTGGCAGATCCCCAGGTATCTCTGAAAAACACGTGCCCTCACAGCTGCTGCCAGCACCGTGAGAGCCTTGTCCCAGTGCAGCACTGTGCCCCTCACAGGGCATTCCAGAACAATCCCGCTCTGTCTTCACAAGGTGTCCCTGCTCTGC